GATAAAATATTCACACCTATGACTTGCATATTGACCTTCTATATGGGATATAGTGTAGATTTGTGATTCACGTCAATTTATTTAGATCTTGTCCGTGAAGTAAAAATGGTACATGTATTAAAGACAAAATGGGTTTTTTTCTAAGAATTTACTCTGTTTTATATTGTGGAAATTGGTATGATTTATCACTGAAAATGTAGTATTTTCATATTTGGTTAATGCAAATCTAAATATAAAAGTTGAGGTTTCAAACGTCGAAATTGTTTATGAATAAACAGTGATAGTTATACAGTCAAACGGTGATTAACATGGTTTGTTTGTTGTTTAACGCCGGAATACTTTAACTCAGCAATATTCCGGATATATGACGGCGACCTGTAAATATTCGAGTCTGGACCAGACAAACCAGTGATTGATATTGTGAGCAGCGTTCTATGCTGTAGGGGTACGAGAACACGCAATCAATCAGGCCACCGAGACTAATCCACTTCCTACGACCAGCATAGGTTGCTGGGGAGCTCTTCTATCCCGAAGGAGGATGCATGATGAGATTAAAATGGGAGATCAGCGGCCTCTGACGCTGCAGTTTGTTGGGCAGAAATGTGTCCCTTAGCTATAGGAGGGATTCGAATCCCATATTCACCCCGATTATGATCCTTGTGTCATCCATTGTTCTGCCCGTAGATGGAACACACGTCTGTGATCAAAATGCCACTTTGTGCTTTCTTCCGACAAGCATTGTTGTAACTGAAATAGATGTAGATCTGCTGTTGCGGACGTCAGCCAAACCCACTCACATGTTGATAAATACAATGTTACTGTCCGACAATATTTTGAATTCCATGTTTCAAAAGGGCGTTGGGCTAGTCTCGTTGTTAAAGCGTTCGTTCTTCACGCCGAAGACCCGGGTTCGATTCCCCACAAAGGTATAATGTGTGAAGCCCATTTCGTGTGTCCCCGGCTGTGATATTGCTTGAATATTGCTTAAAGCGGCGTTAAACCCCACTCACTCACTGTTTCAAAAGCCTACGATTTTACTCTGATTATACAACCAGAGTCTGTCTAACCATTGACACAATTACACGATTCCTTGAAATAATGTGCAAGAACATGCTGACCCGATCTTTACCGTTCCATTTCAATCATAGCAGTCGTTGCCTCGTTTTCATTACCGCGCTGACCTCCGGTGCCACCATGTGTCGTCTTTACCGTCTCATGTTAAATTTACCACCTGATTCCATGGAACACTCCATTTGCTACGGGATAATTAGATTAAAACTTCATTCGCCTTGGTGCGAGACTTTACAACATAATTACCCATTGGGTACTTGTCGGAGTTGAAGGAGCGCGCGAGGAGGGGCGTTGTGTTCGTTATATTATCACTAAAATCTCTTTCTCTGGTCAAAGCCATCTGATAGGGACATGGCAAGGTTGTTCAGATTTACGGTGCGTATGATTTGTTTCCGGTTGCCATGGTTATGGAAATGTCAGGGTGAAAGGTCACTTGTTGATTAGTGCACTAAAGGCGAGACAATTGAAAATGCAGTCAGACGGCAGGAGGAGACCCATGAAGGTGTTCTCTTTAATCTAGAGTGGAAACACTTGCAATAATTATTTAGACTATAAATACCGAATCTGTCTAAATATATAAGCGGCTTAATTTACGACAGCTGTGGGGTTGTGAAGAGAGTAGTGTTCATGACATGACTTTATTGATTTGATGCACGGCGTAGAATTAACTCTTCCTCTCCATCTTTGTTATGTCATCTTATTGCACGAACTGGTCACACATCCAACCAGCGTAGCGCAAACATGGCCGCCCTTCATACCCATCACCACTGCAATGAACGTAACTAAATCCCACTACCCTTCGGCATATTTCGATAGGAAATAAACCCGATGCGGCGTTTTATTTTATATTTTGTATGTACACCTCAGGGTACCTATAAGGATTATACTTTAAATTGGCCTTGGCTCGGCAAAAAGGCAATCATCACAAATTTTATTCAGATTTTTCACACATCATGTTGGGTGTCTTCCAACTGACATTTTATTATGTCTATCGGTCTTATAGTTAATGATTACCGGACGAACCCAGAGACAATGTGTCGGTTTCACATATTACCCTATTTACACAGTCTAAAATGGACTCCAGGCCACGGGGAGAACCCGCACGTGACCACACCCACACCATCTCACCTTTTACTGCGAGCATGGTTTTACGTAGAATTTTAGCACTTTTCTAGTAATATCAGGACGGGGGACGCGAGAAATGGGCTTCACACATTGTGCTAATGTGGGAATTGAACCCGGGCCTTCGGAGTGGCGAGCAAACACTTTAATCACTGTGTCACCTCTCCCTACCCTTTTCAACACATATAGTGCAGGCGGGAGGATGCAGGCTGCATATAGTCACGGAAACAAGGCTCAAAGAATGCTACGTCACAAGGACATGTCATGTATCCTGGCAATGCGCCAGCATCTACTTATGTCACCGTGGATCTAAGCAATTGTTAATGCCAAGCATATCTCTGACTAGATAATTATCAGGCAGCATTGTTCTGTCTATATTCTGTCTGACATGATTGCTTGTTTACACAACAATGCCAATGATTCGTACATCGGAATGCTCGCAATGTATATTAAACACGTAATGAGGATACTTGTCTGAAGCTTGGCTTGTCCATCTTACAGCTTTTTACAGTACCGCGTCTGTTTACAACAGTTTTCTTGACGACAAGGACGCCACCGATATACAAAACATATCTTTGCCATTTGTCTGCTTTGGCATGAAAATGCGATAAATCGGCGACAGAATAAACTCTGATAATCTCGTGGAGCCGGGTCCCGCGTCTAGTGAAGGCCCCGTTCCCGTCTCCATCACATCCTAACCTAACTGCATATCTTACTTATTGCTACACTGTCTCCAGTCTCCTCAAATATTTCACAATGCATTTATATTTACTCCTATTATGCATTTGGCTCGCGCTTTGGGTGACTGAAGTTGTTCGTGTTTTAAGCAATCAGCAGTGTTCAAACTGTTTCACAACCTACCGTGAATAATCAAATCTGGGCAAGGCAAACTAGTTCTGCGCCATGACTGCCGAATTTGTATATATATTTTGGGGTTGTTAGTTTTTTAACTAAAAGCCTAGGCAAGTCTAGGCCAAACTAAACCAAGTCTAGTTTCCCTGATGGAAACAGAAGAGGAGGAAAGATTCTTATGAAAGAAAAATTAGCACAAGTATATTAAAGAATTGTTTTCATAGACAAAGTGTCAGTCTAAAGGTAAACCACTGGTTGATCCTATGACCACCGATCTCCATCATCAGTATATATAAGACTATTATCCTTGGTCTTCTAGTGCACTCATAACTGTCAATGGTGGCCCAGGAGTGTCGATGGGCAATGTTGCAGCTATATCACAGTAGTCTGTCCTTTTTCATGTCTGGGCCAGTCAAACCAGTGGTCGACAGCATGGTCAACAGTCCACAGTATGAACCACGCCCCATATCGTGACCACCTGAGTGATTTTCGTCGGTTCATGGGATAACGTGGATCTGTCGGAAAGGTTGCCTGATGGGGTGACTTGAAGGACTAAGTCTGATTGCCTGTCTGCTGTCTTTAATCTTCACAGATTAACCATACGAGCCACGCCTTTCTCTGATTTGTCACCAGCACATTGACACAAGGCCTATATCAGGTGGCTGGTATATTTCCTGTTAAAAGTAATTCCTAATACACTGTCCACTTTCCTCATACATGCATTATGTATAACGGAGTCGTGTATAGTTTAGGAAATAATGACCCTAATTTCTACCCCGCAGCGATGATAATTACTGCTATTAGGTTCGTGAATAATGATTTCAGTGATATAAAGGTCACAATTTAAGGTATCTTGGAGCTAAGTTTTGGGGATAAACTGTTCTTTTCTTGTTCTTTAACCGTTTTTGTCTGAAGCTAGCTGTGATGGGTGATCTAGATTCTGTGTGCCCGAAACAGAAGGACATGAAATTTAATATGTAATAACCACGGGTCACAGGATCAGTCGTTCGGAATCTTGGCAGTTGTTATTCCGATTTATAAAAACACATCATGTCTACTTCTACTGCAGTAAACAAACGCCCTGCATAATTTGCTTCCGTGATCAACAGTCGTGGTTGACCCCATATCACATTTTTATAATAAATCGATTCTAGATTTTAAAATCCCTTGTCTGTTTAGTGCAATGCTTGCGCGTTACGAACGAGACTTACTGACATTCAGTAATTTATCATACCGAAATTCAACATGAGCTAAGACAGGCCTTTCGGCATTTGTCTTTATTCAATATGGAACAGACCACACATCTCTCTTTTTTAAGGACCATATTTAGATAACCGTTGTGAAGTAAGTACTGATGCTACTTGCCACTATGGGAGTCTGCGTGAAACTGTATTTTCTTTAGAGACAAGATGTTGTGTTGGGGAGCATCCTTTAGTTTTTTATGAGACGAATAGGTTTGTTGCCAGTGGTGACAAAATTAATAGTTCTTTTGGTGGAAAATGCCGAAACGTCAGTTTTTTGTGTTAATGGTGAAAGATAATAGATTGTGTGATGGTGTTCAGCAAATGAACAGTTTGTTGGATTCAAATGAGGGAAAAAAATACTATTCTCAAGAAAAGATTCTCTCCTCCTCCTTAATTAAGAGAATGAATTGTATGTTGTGAAGCGCTGACTACAAAAATATTCCTTTCAAACAAAAAGCCCATCCCTCAAATTATTGAATGGTTTGACCCCTCGTCTATAAAATTAACGCCCGCACCCACACGCACCATTACGAATAAAGGGACCGGTTCCCAGGACCAAAAACCGATCGTAGCGCGAAGACGATCGTAACACAGTTTTACATAGACTAAGGGCAGCCGTAGCGCTACGATCGCTTTGTGGAGCGTGTCCCTGGGCTTAAACAATAACCTTCGTGAATACGTTATAACCCCAATGCTTCAACATTCTTTCAGGGTCTGGTAACAATGACGAAAAGAAGATCCTAGCCCCTGGTCAGTACACGTACCCCTTTCAGTTTGAGCTACCGGGCAATCTGCCAAGTTCATTTGAAGGTCAACACGGCTTCCTCCGTTACTGGGTCAAGGTTACAATGGAGAAACCATGGAAGAACGACTACTCTACCAAGAAAGTCTTCACGGTAATCTGCCCCATGGATCTGAACAGAGAGCCGTCATCGGGGGTAGGTACTGGCTGCTCTCAAGCATGTGACTTAATGTTTAAAATGTACAGTCATATACTGTGGCATCGTTGCGCATCCACTTTTATCAAGGGGTGTGTAAACTCTATGTGTCATGCTTATATTCCGGGAAGTCTTGTTATATTCCGGGAAGTCTTGTCTCTTTCATAAATATTTACAGTGTATTAATGAAGTTGAAGACGTAAATCGTCAGCTTTAAATGTATACAAGAATTTCAACAAGTTGACCCGTGAAGATGCGGGTCGGAATAGGTCTTTAGCAACCCATGCTTGCCGTAAAAGGCGACTATGCTTGTCGTAAGAGGCGACTAAAGGGATCGGGTGGTCAGACTTGCTGTAATAGCGGGGTGGGTACCCGGGTAGTGCATTTGGACTCGTCCCAGCCCTAGCCTGGTCACTGCTCAACTGTCAAATTGGCACATGGAAATCAGGGGCGGGTAATTTGATATTGTAATGGATCTAGTGGTTATCATACCTCCATGTCAGAACGATGAGATGTGATTGGCTCACGTGATCTTGATAAAATAATGTGTAGGTTTACCGAAATGCTAGCCCTGGAGTTAGAGATGATGATTAGCAAGCATCATCATGCATTCTATGCGAGAATCCCAGTCTAATTTCTTGTACCAGCCGTGTACACTGATATGACTCAAGGGTTCTTAAATTGGATGCAAAGACAAATTAAGAAGTATGTTGGATGCTTGGACTACATGCGTAAGACAGTTTTTTCAGCAACCAACGCTTACCGTAAAAGGCGACTATGCTTGTCGTAAGAGGCAGCTAACGGGATCGGGTGGTCAGGCTCGCTGACTTGGTTGATGCATGTCATCGTATCCCAGTTGCGTGGACCGATGCTCATGATGTCAATCAGTGAATTGTCTGGGCCAGACGCGATTATTTACAGACCGCCGTCATATAACTATAATATTGCTGAGTGCGGCGTTATGATGAAATATTTGATGATTTTCAGTTCTAAAAACGGATATACAGAAGACATTTTATGTAGGACATTCTGTACTACCCTACACACATTCAAACAAAGTTGGAGTTGTTGTGTAGATACCAGATTGTTATTATCTACAGCTACCTGGTCCAGAGCATCATAATTATCAGTTTTGTCAGCTGTGAAAGACTTCATTAGTTCAGTTTGCCTTTTTAATACACGTGTCTCGTACCAGCAGCATAAATCTGTTGGAGCTCATTTACCGACGACCGAGATTGACGTGATGTGGGATCCAAATGGACTCCAGTGCATGAACTCCAGAAAATGCAATGAGAAATAACACAAATTCCTGGAGAACCTTTTCTGACCGCGGTCGCAGCACGTGTACTTCACTGCGGTATGCCTTCCAGGGGCATCACTGCGTCCGTGTACAGACGAGTGAGAATGCGTTACGCCGTGTATTGTTGTATGTCACGTCATGTCACGCCATGTCACGCCATGCCTGGCACGCGCAGGGAAGCGAACCCAGACCTCTTGGTTCATCGATTACTCGCAGTGGCTCCGTTGTATTCAATTCTGTTTTTCTGTACCCGTGACTCATACACAAGAATAATATAATATAACAGCAATGAGAGACCACAGAGATCAGGCTGGTACTTGTATAGGATATTAACCATCGTTATATGTTGAGGAAAGCACATTTTATATTAATATATCCTGTTAGAGATAACAAAATGAAATCCTCCATGTAAATGACATGTGACATATAACCACTGACTTTTAATGACACCGGCATATCGTCCTTGTTCCACAGCTAACCTGGACATACCTTTAAGACTTTTGTCAATTCACGACGATAAAAATTAAATGAAGGATCCGTAATATACAATTCAGATTCTAACTGAAACTTAAATGCCGGGTATTAATCATGCAGTGCGAGTTCAGGTTGTTGCATGTATAGGCTATTGTATGACGTAGAACGTAATACACGACGTATAAATGAGTATAGAAGTATATTGCCCTAGCTTCGTGGGATCACAATCCTTGAGTGAGTCAATGGCTGGTCCACTTGTACTTGCTTATCTGGTCAAGGCGTGAATGATTACATGCCGCTGTGTGGGAGGTTGGTTTGATTTGTTGTTTTACACCGCACTCAGCAATATTCCAGCTATATGACGGCGGTCTGTAAAAAATCGAGTCTGGACCAGACAATCCAGTGATTGATATCATGAGCACCGATCCACGCAATCGGGATACGATGATCTGCTTCGACCAAGTCAGCGAGCCTGACCACCCGATCCCGTTAGTCATCTCTTACAAGCATAGTCGCTTTTTACGGCAAGAATGGGTTGCTGAGAATCTATTCTACCCCGGATCTTCACGGGTCCTGTGTGGAAGGAGCACTGATGTACAGCGTTAGGCACTTACTGACAGTGCAGATCCAGTGGGTGGTGGGTGCTACCGGTAGAGCGGGACATGCTAACACTAATCGCGAACACCTGGTGTCATAACTGATTTTCTGTTATCCATTCATATTATTTTCACTACCATTTTGTCTTTAACGCTAAATAGCGAGAGTGGTTGTTCTCTTGCGTGGACGTTTAATATTCCTGTGAACTAGTGCTGGAGATGGAACACTGTCAACATTTAATAAATTAACCAGACACCAGTATGTTTAAGATTATTTTTTTCCTAAGACCGTCACGCCCGTTTATCTGAACAAGTCTGATGATGTAACATGGTGTGTCTCATTACTGGGATTCTCCTTCCAGCGTGATACGTGAACGTACGGAACGCATGTAGCAGGACACAAATAGAAGATGGTTTATGCTAGTGGACGGGGATCGGGAGTCTTTGAAGCAGTACATCCTGATGCCACTAACACCCCAGGCAACGCGCGTGGTTGTGTGTATATAAACAAGGTGCCAGAACACTCCCCTGACACTCGTGTCACGGCGAGCATGTCCTGCCGACTGCACTTCCTACGTTACCACCTTGAACACTCGAAATCCTTGATTTGTTGATGAAGTTGTTTTCGGGCGGTAAACATGCCATTCTTAGCTATATGAGAGAAAAACTAATATTTTAAATCCCCTCTAATTCAACTGATTCCCCCGATCATGATGCAGAATGGATTGAAACCCACATGATTTTTTTATTTATCCCGCTTAACACTTTCAAACCCGAATTCATTTTGCAGATAACATTAAAACACATTGAATATACCACTCTGTGACTTGACCCTCATCCTATTTACACGTACCCTCTCTCTCTCTCTCTCTCTCTCTCTCTCTCTCTCTCTCTCTCTCTCCAGGATCACAACAGAGATATCCTTATCTTATAATTATACGAACAACTAAGCCAAAGATACTGGCAATAGCAACATCTGTTGGACAGCATTATCCAAACGAATGTGTTTTTTCAACATTTGCCGCTACACTAACCCATCTGTACTGGACCGGTATACAAGATACCATTCCTATCTTTAAACCTTAACGCCAACAACACGTGTCTTCACCATCACCTCGTACAGCAATGAGGTCGGCTGACTGAACATTTAAATGATAGGCCCCCTAGTCCACCGCTACCTGAGTTACAAGACCGCTGCTTCATTTATTAATGCACGTCAGCTGCTGTGGAGATAGCAACCACAAGCTGCCTTGAAGCAAACAGCGTTCCTCTTGGTACTCAACCCCTTCTCAAAGAGAATAACATGTTTGCCCCGTACCGATGCCTTGTTGTGTATTTGGCACAACGTAGCCTACAGATAGCTATTGTTATATTGGTAAGTGCAGAGAATAGAATTTCTTTGGGGAAATATGTTTTCCCGTTGTTCAGGGAGAACATCTGGGACGACAGCTTGGGGAGAAACACTTAAATTACAAGAGATTGTTCACCCTTGAAATACCCTTGTTAATTTACAAGGGACATTGATGGATCTGGCTGTGTTTAAAGGCCTCTTTATGGTTGTGACTATTGTACATCTCCCACGGTGAAACCAAATGAGAGAATAGTCATAGTAGGCAATATAAAAATTCAATACTAAACAATTTTTATGGAACATATAGATGACTCGAATGTCGCTTTTTTATCGTATTACACCGTCCAACCTATGAAATTCCTATCTGCTGTGTATGTATGCTAATTTTATATCCCCTTTCCAATCAATGTTAATGCATTTCATGGCGGAAGCAGAATGTTTTGCAGAGATGTCGTTCGTGGTGTTCAGTAAATACGACAGATTCTTTAGGACAGGTTTCAGTTCAATGATATAACGCCGCAGTGCTGTAATGTGACTGACATAACGAACTGTTTTCGATAGATCTTAAAAGCGACTAAACCATTCCATAATGGAATGAAATTAAAAGCACGATTCAAAATTCATCTTAAGCAAGTGCTTATGAATCACCATCAAGTAGTGATGATACCAGGTGTTCGTAAAAAACAGGTATGCCCCACCTCTGGCACCCGTCACGAACACTTAATACCCCTTTACACAAGGCTGCGACCTTTGTGCTACCTTTGAGCGATCAAAAAATAGGCAGGACGCTCAATGGTCGCCTAAACCCAGAAAATCATGTTTCTATGTAACTGCTCCAGCAGTTGTTCAGCAGTAAGTGCTCGAGTTGTTCAGCGTCTGCAACCACAATGAAACACTGCAGGTACATGCCCTCTATTTATAGGCAGGCTGAGGAGGCACTACAGGTAGCTCAAAGGGGGCAGAAAAGAGGCAGAAGCATTGCCATGGTGTCTCAAGGGTTGCCGTGGTCGCCGAATGGAGGCATGGTGGTCGCCAAAGTCATCGTTCAATGCACGCTGTTGATCGCCCAAAGGAGGCAGAAGCGTTGCCCATGATTGGCGGGAAAATATTTCAGCAGAACGCATCTGTTACCTGGCGACCATTGAGCGACCACTGTGCCTTTATTCTGCAACAGCGGCAATGCTTGTGCCTCCCTTCTGCCGCCTTTGAGCCACCTTTGAGCAACCAACCTCCTCGGCGACCTTTGTGCGACTGTTTTGAAGATGTTCAAAAATCGACG